CTAAAAGTTGGCTATGAGCCACCAGATATTATTAGCATGTTTTTGTCACAAAGTTAACAATAATTCTGTCAAACTCACCTGATAGACAATTTAAAATTTTTTAAGCAAAAAAAATAAAATTAAAAAATAAATAAAATGGGCGCATCTTCTATGTAAATTATATTTCAGTAAAATTGAAAAAATAATTATTTTACAACAGTTAAGGAGTTATGTCTTTTTTGTTATCAATAGTGGCTGGCCAACAAGTCACTACAAAGGTTAATCAGTCCATTGTAGGATGAGAGTATCCTTGATCCATCAGCCTCTGAAACATATCAGAGGAACAGATTCTCTTACCAGCAGAAAATCAAGGAATTTGCTTTGCAATTCACAGAAGTTAGAGTGTGAATTTGTACACCCTCTTGTGATTAACTGGAGTTAATTTTCAAAAAGTCAGGCCTAAGCTATGTTAAAGTGAAAGTCACTCAGTCATGTCCAACTCTTTGGGACCCCAAGGACTATAGAGTCCATGGAATTCTCCAGGCCAGAATACTGGAGTGTAGCCTTTCCCTTCTTTAAGTGATCTTCCCAACCCAGGGATCGAACCCAGGTCACCTGCATTGCGGGTAGATTCTTTACCAGCTGAGCCACCAGGGAAGCCCATGTTAAAAAGTGAAGAAAGGTATTTTTTATCAGGTTAATGCTTCAGAAGTAAAGAATTCCCACTGTAAGGAAGCAAAGAACTTCTGGCCTGTACTCTGATCGGCGTCTGGACCTTCCAAAGAGGGCAGCACACACGCATGGCAGGCAGATGGACAGAAATGCCTCCCTGACCACACTCTACGTGGCACACAGTGGAAGAATAGCCTCTCCATCAGAGGAGCAGGTTGTTAGAACAGCCAGAGGGATAAGGTTTTTATTTGTAAGTGGGCTCACAAACGTTTATTATGGTATTTTTTTTTTAACTGTCAGTCACTGAAAAGGCTTTCTCTGCAAACACAGAAAGGGAAGAAAGCAAAGTAAATCTGCCAACTTCCCTCTCCACCTGCCTTACCTTACCCTTCTCCTTTCCCCCATCCCCTTAACTCAATACCCCTCAATCACTAGCAAAGGTTAAAACCACACCAGGGGGCTTGGTTGAACCAGAAGAAAAGGCAGGCCTAGGATTTGGATGTACTGATAGATAAGAAGTGGGGGAGGGTGGCTGCATTCAATGAACTCTCATCATTTCTAGTTCCAGCATCTTCAACAGCACACTCGTGTTCTGTCCAGCGATTAACTCTTCTGCTCTGTGCAAAGCCCTGCTGGGAGAATAAAATGAAATGTCGGACCTCCCTTGCCAGAAACCAAGGGACATCCTAGGGACTCCTTCCCCTAGACCTTTCTCTCTCTATCCTGATGGAGCCATAGATGGCCCTTGACTTAAGCTTGGCCAATCAAACAATCTCATGGAAATTTATTTCCTTCAGAGTGATGCAAGAGGCAAAGACATGGCTTGCAGTGGAGCCAGGCAAGACAACCAAGAAGTTTCTCTTGTCAGTTCCAAGCCTGGATCCTTAGGTTTCCCATCCATCTTGTGAGGCTTTCCTCTGTGGAGAAATACTTATTTTAAGTTTCCCACCTCTCTCCCCTACCCCTCATCCTTTTTTAATCCCCCCCCCAATCAGAGTTAATGTTTGTTACCAGTTTGGTGGTGGTGGTGTTGTTTTTCCAATTTCTATATATCCCATTTTCTATATATCCATTTTTTAAAAATGCATGTATGTGTCATATAAATTGGATTATATTATACATGTTGTTACACAACATGCTTTTCCTGAGCTGTGATCTTCTACTTCTTTTGTATTGTCTCATCATTTCTGATTAAAGATGTACACAAAAATCTTACCAAAGTTGGAGTCTATGGACAGGGTGGGACTCAGTTAATCTATTACATAGCCCATTTATTACTAATAAGAGAATGGGCTCAAGTTCATCTGGCTGAACAAGGATTCTAAAGAATGCCAACTATGTGTGAGGCTCTGAAGTTCTTACAGGCAACATAAGGGTTCTTGAGGAGAGAAATCTCATGATGAAGACAATGTTTCATGAAGAATAACATCACAACAGCAAGTATAAGAGATAAGACAGAGACCCTGGACAGCAGAGAGACTAGTTCAGCGGCTAATAGAGGAGTAGATCTAAAGAAACAACACTCTAGATTACAGTGATAGTCAGAAAAATGGAGAGAAACTTTACTGAATTTTTAAGAAGGTAGACTAGTAGAGTGGAAAAAACAATGATTGGAGTTAGAAGAGCTAGATTTCAATTCCAAGACTGAAATTTATTAGCTGTGTGATATATATATATTTGGTAATATACCAAATATACTTCCTTGCTCCATATCGTTTTCTCTGTCAATAAAATGAAGAACCTGGAATATCAGGGCTTTAAGTTTCAGGGATTTTTTTCCCCAGCAAAACCCCTGCTCCTCACATAGGGACAAGGTTCAGAGCCCCAGCTCTCCTTCATTATACCTCCCAGTCACTTCATTACAACTCTGAGGCATTCTTGAGGAATCAAAAGAGGACTAGGATACAACATTTGAGAAATCTTAAAAGGCTCTATTATCAACTCTAATATTTAATGACTCAAGGGGGTAAGTTTGGCAGAGATGTCTAGAAAAACAGTAATGATTTTAATAGTTACCACAGAATCAAATTAGAAAGGATGAACTGACTTCTGATAAATCTACCTGTTTCTCTTTACAGGTCAAATCCAGCCTAATTTCCAAAATCTCATCTAAATCTTGTGCAAATGGTAATCTAACCTCTAGGCAAGCAATATAGTCACAAATAATTCACTGCCTAACAAGTCAGCTCACTCCCACTTGAGGTCCTCTAACTGTTCAAATGTTCTTCCCTGTTAAGTCAAAACTGGTTCCCCATCACTGTCATCTGAAATGAAGGTCCTTATTCCACCTTGTGAAGCTAAACCAAGTAAATCTAAGCTCTCTTCCACAGGACAGTCCTTCAATTGTTTGAGAAGAGCTCTCAAGTCTACTTTATTCCAGCCCCCCATCACCCCACTTATTCTCTCTTGCTCTGGCCTGACAGGAATGTTCCACAAAGGTGGCCAGCTCCACTTCTGGATCAAATCAGCATTTTCTAAGCATCTACCTAAAAGGAGATCTGCATTTCTTCAAGGCTTTAAAGAGTTAATGAAATCAGATGGTCTTCCTTGAAACAAATGACTAGCTTTACAATAAAGTGTAAATAGAACCTACATTCATTATCTGGAAACCATTATTTTCTTACTTAACTTGGAAGGAAAGTTATGACCAACCTTAAAAAGCAGAGACATTACTTTGTCAACAAAGGTCCATCTGGTCAAGGCTATGGTTTTTCCAGTGGTCATGTATGAATGTGAGATTTGGACCATAAAGAAAGCTGAGTGCTGAAGAATTGATGCTTTTGAACTGTGGTGTTGGAGAAGACTCTTGAGAGTCCCTTGGACAGCAAGGAGATCCAATCAGTCCATCCTGGTTTAAAGGAAATTAGTCCTGGGTGTTCATTGGAAGGGCTGATGCTGAAGCTGAAACTCCAGTACTTTGGCCACCTGATGCAAAGAGCTGACTCATTGGAAAAGACCCTGATCCTGGGAAAGATTGAAGGCAGGAGGAGAAGGGGACAACAGAGGATGAGATGGTTAAATGGCATCAGTGACTCAATGGACATGAGTTTGGGTAAACTCCGGGAGCTGGTGATGGACAGGGAGGCCTGGTGTGCTGCAGTCCATGGGGCTGCAAAGAGTCGGACACGACTGAGCGACTGAACTGAACTGAACTGAACTGAAACATTAGCTGGTCCCAGTGTATCAGAAGTAGATTGCTAAATCTTTTAACCCAAAGCAAATTGTGAAAACATCTAGCTAGGGATTCAAAAAGATCTAAGACTCAAGCTCCAAAGAAACAAGTATAAATAATACAAATAAATGGAAGCAGCCTAACTCCAAGCTTGTAATCTCATCAGTTCTCAGGGGAATGTAATTCTCACAGGTAACAAAACTTAATTATCACCAAGGTGACCTGGAATATCATTGTTAGTAAGAAAGCTTCATTCACAATTCTTCATCCCACTCATTCCATATTCCACCACGAGGTCTGCAAAATCAGGGTGTGTGGCTTAGGCCTGTGTTTCTTCCAGTCTGGGAAATCTGGGGATGGGGACTAGGAAGTAGGACCGAGTTCCTAAGAAGAAAGCAAGCGGGCACAGCCGGTCCGTGACGCCTGTGGGAGTGCTGAGACTTTACGGTTTCCTGTGCCCTGGTTGTCCCAGTAACCTGAGGCCTCCCTATTTGTGTTGGCATTGTGGGGCCAAGAGCGGAAGCAAAGCTGAAGTACCAGGAAGACTTGCAGGGAAAAAATGCGGGTAATGCAGCAGTTATGCCACAGAGGGTCAAGCCTAGGGCATAAGAATTACCAGACTTTGGGGAAGGGAGGTAGTATCATAAAAATCAGATTTCCAGATTCTACTTCAAGCGTTTCTGATTCAGGAGATATAGGATGAGCTCAGGAACCTGAAATTTTAAGAAGCTACCCCCTAAGACAAAGATCACACTTTTGAAAACTCAGGCTAAGCAAACACATCAGCAGTTGAGGAGAAAAAGTATCACCATGGATCAATTTCCATGATATTCTAGCATGGTAGTTCTGAATGTGGTAGGGGAGGGGGACAGAATTTCCCTCCAGGGAATACTTGGCAATGTCTGGAGATGTTTTAGACTGTCACATCTGAGAAGGTACCTCTGACATGCAGTGGGTAGAGGCTAGGGATGCTGCTAAACATCCTACAGTATACAGAACTGCCCCTGCAACCAAGGATTATCCAGCCCAAAACATTAGTAATGCCATGGTTGAAAGGATATTCTGCCCCTCAACCCCATCACCTCCCAATCCACAGAAATCAATGTTACCTACGTATTCTTAGGTCATAGTACAGAGACTTATATGAGATCCTCTGGAAATCACTTGAGAGGCCTAAATGATTATTTTAAATAGTGGTTTAAAAAGAATACAGATTGGGGCGGGGGGCACATCCCAGGTGGGGCCAGTAGTAAAGAATCCGCCTGTCAATGCAGGAGTCATAAGAGACACAGGTTCCTTACCTGGGTCAGGAAGATCCCCTGGAGAAGGGCATGGCAACCCACTCCAGTATTCTTGCCTGGAGAATCCCATGGACAGAGGAGTCTGCTGGGATACAGTCCGTGCGGTCACAAAGAGTCGGACAAGACTGAAGCGACTTAGTACACACGCAGATAAGGAGGAGATGAAAATAACAGATAATAAAGAGAGGCAGGTATGGACAACAATGGTGAGCTAAGAGGGGAGTCAAGGGCGGACAAGGCACTGGGTGACCTCAGAGGGAAACTCCTGGTGGATGCAGGCCATGAAGACCAGGGAAGAGAAGATAAGCCTATTAAAATATCATAGAAGCAAAAAAAGAAAAGACAGAAAGAAAATGAAGAAACTGTGAAGAAGTAGTTTTAGAATTTGCCAAGAATAGATCTGGAATGAAAAGAAAATGTTAGAAACACTTCTTCTCAAGAGTGATAAATAAGGATTTCTCAGCAATGATTTAAAAAAAAAAAAAGAGAGGACCCTTAGAAAGAAATCAGGAATTATGTGAAGAAAGGAAGAATATAATTATTTATGACCTTCTAGCCCTAATCACCCCCCAAGAAAGATGGATCCAGAAAAAGTTCCCTGGCCTCACTGAGCACAGACAGTGAACGGGAAGCGGGGCTGGAGGAAGAAGGGCACGCCCAAGAACCCTTCTTTAAGGAGAAGGGGGCGGAGATGGTGCTCAAGGGGCAGGAGGAGCAAGGTAGGGGGAGAAAAGGAGGGGCAAGGATGAGCGAGCGGGACTTCAGGGACTCCCGGGGACAGAGATTAAAGGAGGGATTTTTGTTTTCAGTGTTGCTTTTGACATATGGGAGATGAGATAGAGCCTTCCTCTTCCATCTCTTCTGAGAAACGTCCAGTAAAAACCGACATTACTCATCAGGGCTCTGGGTTTGGGTTTGTGTTTCTTTCCCAGTTGTGACCACATGCAAGACTGGCCTCCAGACAGATAAAAGAGCTCAGTTACATGTTTTCACTATGTCTGAGGTGACTATAAGATTTCTGGAGCAGCCGAAAGACAGCCAGTCCTGTGACAGTGTACTAACTCTGGGAGTTTGGAGCTGCACTAACACAAGGGTCACATCTGGCCATTTAAATTTAAATTAACTAAACTTTAAAACCCAGTCCTCAATCACACTAGCCACATTTCAAGTGCTCAACAGGCACATGTGGCTAGTGGCTACTGATTAGGCAGGACAGGGAGCGAACACTTCCATCATAATAGAAAAGTTCTATTGTACCGTGTGAGGGTAAAGGAAAAAAGCTTAAATAGCTAACAAAAAACAAACTCTTCCAAATTTTTAAAGAGCTGCTGCAATGAAAAAGAAGTCAATTTCCCCATACTGTTTCAAAGAGCAGAATTGTGAGAATGGATGAGATGCTAGCAAAGCAGACTTCTGCTGAACAACACACGAGTAACTTAAAGCTAGCTGAGCACATTATGGGCTGCCTCCACTGCAGATGGCAGTAATCCATCCCATGGAGTAGAGACAGTCAAGCAAAGACCTCCTTGGTCATATTTCAGAGATAATAAAGAAGTAGATGCCTTCTCAGTATCTAGTCTTGGGTCTATAACTTTAAGAAAAGAGCAATTTACAAGTGAGATAAAAATGAAAGTCATAAATGGAATTTCAAAGGTTACTACTATCACAGGTAGACTGTGGGGCAAGCATGAAAAATTAAACCATCTAAATAGATAAGGAACTCAATCAGAATTAACAGTGTTTAGCTGGGGGTTAATTATTAGTGGTGGGGGCTATCATTTACATAGCAATTTGTAAACAGAAAAGGTTAAAAAGAAAAATTTGGTAATAGTTCCAATGGTACAGCGACAACTCAGGGCAATTTCAATATAGGTTATCAGTGAAAACCTGACTATGGTTGAAATTGGTACTACAACCAAAGAATCTTTTATGTTCTCTGCCAGAGAGAATATAAGTTGTCTGGGTACAGCAACCATCTACTCTTGGGACTCTGGCCCCTTTATCCCATCCTCTCGCCATTCACCACAGCCTTACAAGTCATGTCTCTCAACTCTTGAAACTCAGTCGCCTCCAAACTGTCCCTTCATCTCCAGAAGAATGATTCCTCTCCTCCTCATCTGAATATAGAATGGCAAAGGATATTGTCTCTTAACCTTCTATCCTAGCTATGAATCTACCCACTCTCATCTTCCACTCCCAAATGTATTTGGCTTGCTCATAATGTAAAATATACTGAATAGACATATTCATAGTCATATTCTGACTTATGGTTCTATTGTCTGTGTACTTTGGTATGTACATGTATATGAGAACATTCATGCACACACACATGATAACACCTGTTACTGGTAAGAATTTAGGAATCTGGCACCAGGCGAATGAAATGCACTGTACACTGCCTAGCACAATGCCAAGCTTAAGTGGGCACTCAGGGGACCTTCCAGTGATAGCCCAGTCATGCTTCTGGATGCAAAACGTGGGAGGATGAGACTGAAGTAGAAGTGAATTTGAAAACTTTGTTTTTTCTTGCAGGAAATAAAATGGGGGAAAAAAGAATCTTGTGCTATATCTACTGGAAGAATGTTTAGTCACAAGGAGAAGGTTGAACCCATGCTGAAAGTAAGCATAATAAGAGTGTACAGAATTTAGTGTAAGAAAAAGGTGATAGAAGAGGAAAGAAGGCAGAAGTGGACCATGCAGAATAAATAAGGCCTAACCCTTTAAAAATCCCAGGTTTTATCAAAGAGAAAGGAAGAAAAAGATTTTCAGTATAAGAGAGTTTAGAGTTTAAGATGGAAAAGAGCCAGAAAGGGCTGTAGGCTTTAAAAAAAAAAAAAAATCAATGAAGAAGCAGTGGTGTATGTTGGCAAAGAGAAGTGTAGAGTTGAGGGGAGGGAGAGAATTTATGGTAGAGGAAGTTGGTGTGAAGTTTTCCTCTAAAGATGCCCAGCAGAGCAAAGAAGGAATGAAGGTAAAAGCCACTGGGAATAAGGTAGGGTTGGGGTTGAAACAGCATGAGAGAGAGGAACAGAGCCCAAAGTAGGAAATTATTTTCTTTTAGAAGAACTAACTGACCCAGATTTCCTTGTTTGGGGCCAAAAGTAACTGGAATTTAAGGATTTTTAAAATAAATCACAACGATCCTAATCCTTGCAATTGCCTTTGGGCTAGTATAAAATAAACTTAAAAGATCATGAAAGAATTAGTGTAAGTTTCTGACACTGTAGAGTTGATTTTAGAAGAGAAATCAGAAAAATAAATTGCTATGTTTATAGAAATATTGAACAACACAACTTTAGCTCTATCTCTTTTTATCAGCCACAAGGTAAATATAGAAACTTTGTAGTTACACACATGTCCACAGAAGATAATAAGTAACCTAACATATATGGTAAAGTTGTTACTTGTCTTTCTGTACTGAATGCCAACGAAATGTTTTAATGGATTTAGGCTATATAGTGCAGGTTAAAGGGCTGCACAGACAAAAGTTAGAGTTAAGAATAAAGACCATAAGATGGGGGACAGGAAAAGCAGAAGTTCTATGCCACTGACACAGAACTGAGGCATTAACACAAGAATTCCCACATGTCGGTGACAGGAATGAGGCCCAAATGCAAGACAAAGGAAAAGACTCGATCCCATGTAACTGACCTTTGAGTTTTAAATCAAATTTGAATCAGATTCTTCAACTTTTCTAGTTTTAAAAATTCAAGTAACTTAAGCTGTTTGACAAATGTAGCCATGCAATTTTAAATGACTATAAAAATTAGAGGATCAATGGCTAGCCCTTTGGCAAAGAGCAGAAATGGTAGTCGCACTAGACACAGATAACCTTGCCTCTAAGCTCCTCATTATTACTTAAGTGCCCGTCGATCCCACTGCCTGCGAGGCCAGTCCGAACTCCTCCTCTCCACGCCTTACTCGAGGCCTTTAACGACTCGGTCACAACGGGACCCTGAGAGCCCTCACTCCTGCTCGCCTCTGACCTGCTTCTCACTCTCGGGGCGCACCGGCGTCTGGGGGGTGGCCATCTGCCCTTCCCACCTGGGCTGGAGGCGGGCGGCTTCCGTCTAACGCCCTGGCGGGCCGAGCCTGTCCCTCGCTCCAGCCTGCAGCGCTCTCGCTTTCAGCCCCGCACTCCTCGCTGCCCTCCCCGGGCCCTCCTCCCCGGGGCCCCTCTCCCTCGGGTGGCGGGGGCTGGCAGTGGGCGTCTCAGGTGTTCAAGCCCTGGGCGATCCCCAGACCCCGACCCCTCGGGGCCCTCCCCCCAGCTCTCTCCCGGCGCTTACAAGACCCTCCCCGGGCTCCTCACTCCCAGCCGCCCCTTGGGGCTCTGGCCCCGGAATCTCCCCACGGCCGCTGCCAGTCCCTCCGGTCCTGCCCGGCTGGGGCGTCGGAATGCGCTCACTTCCTCCCGCCGCGCACCTGCCCGGCGCGGTTGGAGCGCCGCCCGGCCGGGCCTCCGGCGGATGTTTTTCTGTCCCCGCGTGGGCAGCGCGAGCCAGCCGTTCCTCCCGGCCCGAAAGCCAACCGCCGCGCCCCCCACAACTGGCATCCCCGCCAGCCATGCCCCAGGCACGCACGCGCGCGCGTTCACCGCCCCCCCCACCCCCCGCCAAGGGTGGCCCCGGTCCTGAGAAGCTCCACAGATGCACACACGAGCCCGCACACCAGCAGGCTTGCAAGAAACCGGTTCAACCAACACCTCCCCGCCACGCACCTACCCCGCAACTTCTTGGAGAGGGCTCCTGTCTCCGCCGCTGCTTCCCGCAGAAGCAGCCCCCTACTCCTGCCCCGGTATGCCTACCTCCTCTTCACTACAGGCCGGAACTCACCCGTCCCGTGACCTCACACACACCAATCCCCACTGGGTCCCCTCTGCCTACAGCACGACCACCACTCCCTTCAAGCTCTCTAGCTCGCTCACTAGTGTCTGCCCGCCATGGGGTTGGCTCTAGGTTGCAGGAGCAGAAGGAAGTTTATGGTCTAAGCATCAAGAGTGTCAGCTGGTGTCCCCACAGAGGCAGCAGCAGAACTACTGGCCACTGACAGGATTTCTGGGCCCTTGTGTTGGTCAAGCCTTTGAATCCACCTGCTCCAGTCCACAAAATTCCAAGGCCGTGCCTCCCACATGCCAGCCTACATCAGGGCACCCTGCTCCCGTTTTTTTTTTTTTTTCCCCTCTTGCTGCTCCTCTGAGATGGAAAGTATATCAGACCAGACTAGGGTGAAGATGCAGTACAGTCCTCATCTCCAGCCATGTAAGCTGTCTTCTTGGAAAAGGATAGGGAATTCGGAGGACTGATGCTGTTTTTGAATGGTGACAAGGTGAGAAGGGCAGTCCTTTGGAAGTCAGCCCGAAGTAGTTGGATTGGAACCCCTGGGTTACAGTGGGAGTCTAGAGGTAAATGGAACTGGAGACTTAGAAGGAAAGTAGAATAAATGCCAAAGTGATTGACCCTGTGGGTAGGAGAGTGATAGCTGGAACAGGGGTCTTCGGAGTGTGAAACAGTGAAAGAAATCCAGTGTGGCTGGGGCAATTAATACCAAAGGGCGGCATTAGCCTCGTCAGAAAGGAGAACTTGAGAGTTCACAGGAGGATGGGAAGAAATTGTTCAGAACCCTCATGAGAAAAAGCAGGAGTCCCAAAGTTAGCTGGAAGGATGGAAAAAGGATATGTCTTCACAGGGAAGAAGTGGGGGTACTGACCTAGGAAAAGGAGGCTTATCAGCAACAGTTTCTCAAAGTGGACATTTAGAGTTTCAAGGACACAAGGACCAAAACCATCCTGGAGGTAATTTTTGAAGGAAGTGGTAGGTTGCAAGGAGCATATGTGTGCAAGTGAAAGAAGTCTATAGCAGCCCCAGCAGAAGCCGTGGGCCGTGCACACAGGACTCCTCCGCATCACTCAAAGAAAGGAACGTCTAGCACCGACCGCAGCAGTTTACTCTTTCCAGAGGCACAGTGCTAGGAGCATGACATGCATCATCTCATAGAATCCTCTTGATGATCTTATGAGTTGGTATCACTATCCCAATTTACAGATAAGGGAACAGGTTTAGAGAGGTGAACTAACTTGCTCAATGACACACAGCTCTTTAGGATCTAAATCCAGAGTCTGACTCTACAACCTATGCTCTTAATCACCTCTCTTCAGGTTCTCCAGAACCTACAGGAAATCCAAAAGAGGATGTCAGAGGATACGTTCCTAAATCCTCATTCCGTAATGTACAGGAGAAAAGAGGGGCCTCTCTTGTGAAAGCTGGAGTGACCCATATTGTGAGGGCACTTAGAGATGTTCCTCTTTGAAAAGAACCATTCCCAGGTATGGCGAGATCTTTTATTTGCTGTGTGTTTGGGGTAATGAACAATGGATAGTCTTATCTCTGGGATGCCTATAAAAAACAAGAGACACCTGCCCCCAGCCCCCCACCCCTAGCCTCTGAGGAGGGGCAGCCATGTCTCTAGGACACTGCAAGGAGACCCTGCCCGAGGGTCTGAGAGAAACATTCTCCACACCAGGTGCCCGCTCGCTCTCCTGGAGCCTCTGGCCGTCGCACCCTACTGCATCTCCTTGGTTTGGCTGGGGCACAGGATTAGCCATCCCCAGGAAATGCCTCCCTCCGGTCCAGGCAGGGATCCCAGCGTACACACCCCTGGAGAGTTTGTGTGTGTGTGTGCGTGTGTGTGTGTATTACGGGGCGGGAGGAGATGGTGGAATGCTTCCTTCTCTCCAGGCCAGGGAGAGTTCTGGGGACCACCTGGGGGACCTCACCCCGCCCCCTCCTTGCTGGGGAAGTGCCCAGTCCAGCGCCCCTTCCCCGGCCACCCTCCTCCCCCTGGCTGTGCGGGGGCATGAATCAGCTCTCACAGCTTGTTAAAGCTAGACCTCTTGTTTTCATGCCCTCACCTCAGGAAACAGAGTTACGGCTTTTCCAGCTCCACTCAGCAGGGGGCCAGGGTCCTCACTTTATAAACATCCCCAAGCCTGTGAGAACAGAGGGCACGGAGATGGTGTGAGACAGGCGCCCAGGGGAGAGAGACAGACGCTAAGGCTCAAGGAGAGGAACAGAGGCGAGCCGAGGAGACAAGGCCAGAGCAGCCGGAACGGAAACCAAGCGGGCCCGAGAGAGCTGCGCTGCCGGGATGGCCCCAGGGACGCCCCGGACGGGCCAGGCTGCAGGGATGCGGGGAGGCTGGGGGGTCATCTGCTTGGTGGCATCTCTGCTCCTCCAGCACCAGGGCGTCCATGGCAAGTGCTACTTCCAAGCTCAAGGTAAAGCTGGGCGAGGCGCGAGGAAGGATGCGTGCCGAGGGCACGGGAGGAAGGGCTCCGAGATGGTCCCCTGGCAGCAAGCCCAGACTCCCTGGCGCTGGGACGCAGGAGGGGCCACATGTGGGGGCAGCGTGCCCTTACCCCTCGGCTCCGGCACGAACATCTCCTGTTCTTCCCCAGCCCCCTGCCACTATGAGGGGAAGTATTTCACCCTGGGCGAGTCTTGGCTCCGCAAGGACTGCTTCCACTGCACCTGTCTGCATCCGGTCGGTGTGGGCTGCTGTGACACGTGAGTGACCAAAGGTGGCCAGAGAGAATGGCTCCGATGTGAGGGACGGAGAGCTGGCCAGGGTGTGACTAGATTGCTCTGATGTGAGAATGAATGGAGAAGCAGCTAGAGGCTGAACTTGACGGTACTGACAAGAAGGGGTGAGAGGCTTCAGGCTACAGAGTGAGGGGACTTAGGTGGATCTGGAGGAAAACTATTCTTGCTATGAAATGAAAAAAAATCCATATATGGCAGACAAGAGAAATCCTGCAGGGCCGGGGGTACTGGGGAGACACGGGAGGAGCGCTGGGGAGGGGATGCGGGGCAGGGATAAAGGTGGACCTTCACTGTCCTGACCCTTCCCCTGTCCTTCGGTTCCCCAGGTCCCAGCATCCTATCGACTTCCCTGCGGGCTGTGAGGTACGCCAGGAGGCAGGAACATGCCAGTTCTCCCTCGTGCAAAAATCTGACCCTCGGTTGCCCTGCAAAGGGGGTGGGCCCGACCCAGAGTGGGGCTCAGCTAACACCCCTGTGCCTGCGGCGCCTGCTCCCCACTCCAGCTAAACGCGACTGACTGCTCTGCTGCTGACCGCCCACTGCTGCTGCCACTTCCAGGGAAACCACTAGCAGCTGCCGATTTATTCTGAATAAATAAGTTAACGCTCCAGCCGAAAGCCCGCCTCTCGTTATCTGTGCCACTGGACCCCAGGTGGAAACAACGGGCCCTACCAGCACCCAGGGGCTGAGTTCTCAGGATCCTGAAGAAGGCTGTGGGCCAGGGTCAGATGGTTATAGTGCTGGTGCTGGGGCCGGGGGCCGCGTAGGAGGCCAGCGTAGGGCTTGTCGGCAGCACCTTGATGGGCAGGTCCCAGCTGAAGGTATCCACGGGCACTTGCTCAGGCCCCGTCCAGGTGGTGGGCTCGGGCTGCTCCATGGGAGGTAGGAGCACCAAACCAGGTTCTCGGGAGGTGACAAACTCAAAATGCAAACGCCACTTCAAGGACACTGCGGGGGGGTAAAGATAAAGGCAGAAGTATTTAGAGGCCAGGAATAAAAGCCAGTGACAGAACGTGGTTAGCAAATTAGAAAACAAAAACAAAACCCTATATTCAGGAAGAGCAGGGAGGTCATGGGGCAGGGAGCCAGGATAGAGGATTTCACTGAAGAAATCTAGTGTGTTGTCACTGGAAATGTGACAATAAGGACAAGAGCATCAAGTATCTAAGAACCCAAGTGTGGGACAGTCAGGACTTGGTAGCTTGAAGCAAATGCTCTGCAGAATCAGATATAAGTGCACCACAGGGTCCCAGTGGGCAGGGGGAGAGAAAATCTGCGCAGCTGTTAAGAATTTAGGGGTCCGTGCACCCAAGAAACAGGCTGAAGGTCTGAGGAAGTGTTAAGGGTCAGAGGTTGGATGTGGAAACTTCTGGGTGTGTGTTAGGAACCAGGGTCCATTATACTGTACCAAAGCACAGTGTTTTACCCTGGGCTCCCCTCGGCCCAGCGATGGTCAGGGTCTCACCAATGGCTGTGCAGAAGCCTGGGGTGGAGCTGAGAGGGATGGGGAGAGAGAAGCTGGTTCTGGTCGTGTGTAGGCAGGACTCTTGGTGCCGGGCATGAGTGACGTGGGACACCGAGGGGGCACCTCCGGCCCCACGACGCCGCTGGTACTCAGGCTGCACACGCTCCTCCGTCTGTAAGCTCACCGAGAACTGCGATTAAGAAGACAAGGGTGTGCAGGCAGGCGCGGGAGGGCAGCCCAGCCGCACGCTGTTTCCCCAGAGGGCCCTGGGTGACGCCCACTTCTCCATGCCGCCTGTCTTTGTGCAGGCCTGCTCCTTCCACCCTAACCCTGCAGGCCCAGTTCCCCCGAAGCTCCTGCTCCTCCCTCACCTGCAAACAAGCTACAGCTCCTTCCCCTAAGTTTAAGGTCCCCACCACGTCCTCGCCAAGTCTGTATACAGATTTGAAGATGCCAAATGTCCCAACTTTTCCTCGGCCATCACTGATGTTGTACAGATCTGGGGAGAGAGGAACAGAGTAAGCCTGGGGTCCATACTGGGGACCCAAGAGGTGGGCCTTCCTTTAAAATCATGAGCTATCTGTGGGTCCTCAGAAGAACGTGGCGGTTAGGAGAGTCTGGCTCTGAGACAGGAGTACTACGGGGGAGGAAGGGGCGGGGCAGTTCTGGAAGGATGCTCACGGAGGCTGCGGCAGGATGTGGCGGCCATGAGACGCTCCCCAGCAAGCTCGGTGAGCCACGAATCCTTCTTCCCACCTTCGTCCTCCTCCAGGAATGGGCTGGATGGGGCTACAGCCTCATCCTGGGGAAACCGGACATCTTGGAGGCCTAGAGTGTGAGTGAGTGGAGGGGTGGTGGGAGAGAAGAGCAGTGTTTAGGGTTTTAGACGCCAACCTAACAGGGCTGAAGGTACAGGGCGCCACAACTGAGGGGCAGGCATCTCACCTGCGCTCCAGGACTTTCTCTCCCCAACTCCCTCACACCTTGACTAAGATCAGGAAGCTTCCCTCCAGCCCCTTTCACAAACTCTCTAAAGAGCATTACTGCTTTGGTGAGGCTCTTCCCCAGCCCCTCGCTCCAGGAACCCTTGCTTACCAGTGAGCACAAGAACCCTCAGAGGGACCCTGAGTAAAGTGATGGGTGAGTTGACACGCTGGCAGCCGATGGTCAGTTTGTACACATACTTGACTGACTGACCCCGAAACGAGGGTGGTCCCTCCACAGGCAGCACTTCGCTGTAGGAGTCTGCTTGGGAAGCAGTAGTCAGGGCAGCTGGAAGGAGCCAGAGAAGGCCTCCCTCCAGGAGCCGTGGAAGGCAATCCAGGGGCCAGGGGGCAGTCACTCACACGATTTGGACTCTCCAGGGTCTAGCCTCAGGTCACAGAAGAGGATTTTCGGTGGAGTGGAAAGGATACACTGACCCCTCTCACCTAAAAAATAGAAGACTGCAACTTAATATCCGCATTGCCTAGCACTGGAAAAGGCTAGCACAGCAAGTGGGGGCAACCCTAACTAAGCCACCCCTCTTTGCTCAGGGTGAGACAGGAACAGCTTTACGCCCCCAAAGCAATAATTACACTCCACCACATCCCCAGTAGGACAGAGACTGGAATGACCCACTGCAACAATCTGACAACTTCACCCATGGGTAACAATGATTCCATCCCCCTCTGAAGCCAAAGCCCCGCCTCTAACCTCGGTGTGGAAGAAAGACAGTCTGGCTCTCGGGCTGGGCATCCGGCTGGCTGGAGTCGGGCGGAGGTACTGCCACTCGACTCTCACTGGCGTGGAACTGGCAGTGGATTTGGGCGCTGGCCCAGGCCAGAGCCTCACTATGGGAGGGGGAAAAGAGGGCATCAGAGGGCAGTTCCTGACCTCACAAATGCTCTCCCAAATTCCCTACCACACTAAGACCAACGCAGTGAGCTGGCTGTCCTTCGGATCAGAGAATCAGGAACCCCAAAGAGAAACCATTATACAAAGAGAAGTATGCCATGGGCAGCAGGGGGAGAGAGGACGTCGGCGAGCCGACGGCTATGTCACCCGCACCTTCAGTTAACTAGCCCTTCCCTACAACGAGGGCACAATGAGCAAGGTGGTGGTGATGTAGCCACAGCACAACCTGAGCCCTGGCTCAGCACCACAGACCCCAGGCTTCCTCCCCGCAGGGCCGCCTTCTTCAGTACCAGTGTCCCCACCTGGACGCAGAAGTGGCCGTCGGCGGCAGGGGGTTGGTGACGGTCACCACACACTCCAGGGCCTCCCCTGCCAGAAACACAGGACCTCTGCTCAGCTCCGCTACCACTTCAATCATGGCAGCTACGGGATCGGATCTAGAAGGAAACAAGGGGTGTCAGAGGTCAGTACCACGGCAGCGAAGGGCGTCTCGGGCGAGCCTGGGGGTGAGGACCAAGGAAACGGGCGTTCAGTACCACGGTGTCAGAGGGAAGCGCCCAGGTTTGGAGTGCGGGAAGGCGGAAGACAGGTACGGCGGCAGCTGACCGGGCACTGCAGAGGGAAACGGCGCCGCTTAGGGTCCCAGCCCCCCGCCCCTATCGGCGCCAGGTCATGCCCCTCTTCCCCGCCGGGACCCCCAGGCCGCCCCCGACCCCTTCCCTGAAGGTTCAACGTCCCAGCCCGGGGCCCCGGCCACCCGGCACCTCGCGCCCAAGCCCGGATACCCCTCAGATCGAAACTGGGGACCAGACTGAAACAGGGTACTCGGTGCCTCGAAGGCCCCGGCCGCCCGCCCCTCCGGCCCGGGCCAAGTGCGTGGCTGCGGCCGCGGCAGAGGCGGGACTTCCCTCGGAGCCCCTTCCGGCCGGAAGCGCGGGCCGGCTAGGCCGGAAGGGGCTCGGGTGGGCCGGCCGCCCTGGGTCACCTTCCCACGGGCTGGTACCCGGGCGCGGGCGCCGCCCCGGACACCGGCCAGCGGGACCCGGCGCCCAGCACTGGGGTGCCTGGTGCCGCGGCCCGGGGACGGGGTCTGGGCTGCCGCGAACTCCCAGGCCGGCCCCGGGGGCGGTGCCTGGAGGGCCGGCCCCGGGGGCTCCTCCCCTCTCCGCGGGCCCAGTCGCCCTTTGGCCGGGCCAGCTAATCACCGCGGCCCAATGACGTCGAGACCCGATCCTTCCCGCCCAGGACCCAGAGAGACAACCGAGGGTGAGACCGTGGTGGCTTTATTGCTGTCGCCGCCGCCGCAGCAGCAACAGCTACCTGGTTTCACGGAGACATCAGCTCGCCTCAGCTTTCCCCAGTGGCCGGCTCTCCGAGACAACACCTAACAACCATCCACGCCCGCATCTGGGCTTGGCTGGCCAGATACTTGGTACCAGAAAGCTCGGGAACGGAAGCCACCGAGGTCCTGGAGACCCAGGATCCAGGGAATATGGGAACCGGAGTCCCAGCCTCGGAGCAGACCAGCTGTGCCAAAGGGGATCCACAGGCTTCTTGCCCTGAAAATGGCACGGAGGCTGTGCAGGTTACAGACTGTCCGATCCCTGAGGACAGTCAACCCCAGCATGAACAGGGTTACAGCAGTCCGGAGGACTCCGGGCAGCTGATGGCTTCCTACGAGGGGAAAGCTAAGGGCTACCAGGTGCCTCCCTTTGGCTGGCGCATCTGCCTGGCTCACGAGTTTGCAGAGAAGAGGAAACCCTTTAATGCCAACGACATCTCGCTGAGCAACCTGATAAAGCACTTGGGCATGGGCTTGAGGTGAGTCGATCCCATTGCCTAGAGGACCTTGCGCCTCACTTTGTTCCAGCAGAAGCAGGAAAGGGTGAGAAAGCAGCAGGGTGCCTTGTCCTGGTCAGGTGGCCCCTATTCCCATCATCTAAGCCCATAGTTTTGGAGGGTGAGACCAGGTCAGGTCTCTCTGCAACCCACTTCCTTCCAGTAACTTGTCTTTTTAGCAAGAAAGGGCATTTGAGCCTTGGAGGAAGCCTTACACATCTAGGCTCCGTCTCAGGTGCTTTTTCTTCTCTGAAGACTGCCCTTTGGGATTAGTTATACTTTGTGACAAGGTAGGAAAGATACTCTGGTGGTCTCGGTACTGATACAATGTTGTCTTCTGGGAGGGGAGGGTTCTCAACTCCAGATCCTCCTAAGCAACTGGAGTATTCATTGAACCTCACTTAGGCACAGCATTTAACAGTCCCAACACCCTTTGGCTTCTTTCCTCAAACTCTGGCTCCAGGGAGTGGTTGAGAGCCTGCCTGCTCTCAACCCTAAGGAGAGGGTGATAAAAGGTAATATTCACTCTATTCGGGAATAGAAGGCCCCTGATATAAAAAGCAAAGAAGACCTTTGACCAGAATGGCCCTGCCTTAGGTGTTCCTAGAGATTAGTTATAATCTTCCAGAGCATTTCCTGGTCCCCTACCCCAGCAAGGGGTTGCAGACAGGCTGAGAGCTTATCCTGGGCTGTAGGACTCCTCTGGATCCTCACTGAGTGTTGGGACCAAGACCCAGTAACAGGGCCAGGTGCCTGTGAGGACAGAAAGCGTCACCCTGAGGTCATCCTGAGTCAGTTGCCACAGTAAACACAGCAGTGCGGAGGGAGGCTTCAGGTATGGGAAACCTAGCTTTGACAGCCTCTTAAGTAGAGGTTCCTTCTCTTCGACGGTCAGCGCTGTGGGGCTGGGGTGGAGAGCCCATGGACCTAACCCAAGCCCTCGGCAGTGGGGAGGGCCTGTTGCTGCCTGGGTGTCTGACTCCTTTGACAGTTCCTCTGGGTGGCCTGTACCAGAGCACGGTAATTCCTCCAGGCTGCTCCTGAAACTGATTCGACTAGTTTTGACCCTAAAAGGCTTTGGGTCAAAACAGGATCTGGGGCCAAGGTACTGAGAGAAGCACCTTGGGGTGCATGTGGTGGGAACACTGAGGTCAAGAACCTGTACGTAGGCATCTTAGCCCCTCCATCCCTAAGTATAAGCTGAATCACAGATGCCTGAAGCTGTCCTCACCCCCTGGACTCAGCTCCCCATACCAGGACAGGGTGGGGATCACTGACACAGGGGTTTTGAGATGAGATGAAGTCCTGCACTGAGGAGAATGCAGGGGTGAGACAAGAATTCTGAATGATTAAGTTGAGGTTGAAATAATGGAAAAGGACAAATAGATCAGGAATTGCCAGCTGCTGAATGGTGTGAGAGAAACGTAGGCCCTAAGAGGGAGCTGACTTGGGGGTACACTGACCAGGAGCCCCAGCAAGACAGAGTTCTCTTGGCCTTAGAATGGTAAGAACTCAATTTTGGTTGCTCTCCCTTTCAGCCAGAATCCATTCATTCAGTAAATATGTATTGAGTGCTTGTTCTGCGCTAGATACTTCTTTGTTCTGCTATCTTCACATCTTGCATTTCTCCCTCACCGCCCTAATCGGAGCTGTGCCTCCCTCCCTTTGGCAATCCTTTCTGGCCACCAGTTTCAAAGTCCAGTTTCCTCTAAGCTGGCAAAGAAGAGCTGCCTTCCCACCATCCCATTGTTCGTCCTCCCTCCATCTCCTGTCACTCCCAGAACGTACCCTCCCTGTTCCTTAGTCATATTTCTCCTCCACTTGCTCCGTCCGTGTTCATTTCTCTTATGTTCCACTGTTCGTACATATGTTCTTTATAAATCCAGCAAATACCTGTTGACTGCAGACCGGTGCCCTGCCCTGTGCTTGAAGCTGTGGGTAATAAGCAACAAGTCTTTGTCACTGTCCCTTTCCCCAGGGAACTGAAAAGCATGTCAGACTCACATGAGGAACACTAGAGTAAGAGGACAGTGTCTGATTGGGAGCTGAGTTAGTGTACGTACAAGTAATGATAATATGTGACACGGATATTCCACTTTGTAGCTTTCCTATTGTGTCATTTGTGACCTTAGAAGGGCACAAATGTGCCAATAGAAGGGCATCTATTGTGCCCTTCCAACCATCCCTTGAGGTAGGAAGGGCAAGTGTGTCCCCATTTTATAGATGAGGAAACTGGAGATTCAGCAGGGTTACTTACCCCATTACATGGTTATAAGCAGTGTGCTTGAACAATGGGAATAAAATAACTCGCGAGGGGGGAGAGTGGAATTGGGAGAGAGCCCAGCAGGAAGGGGTTGCTTAGTGAGGACCCACTCTGAACAGAAGCTGTAGGAAGTAAGATAGGCTGGGGCTTTCCCGGTGGCTCAGATGGTAAACGATCTGCCTGCAATGCAGGAGACCTGGGTTCAATCCCTGGGTGGGGAGATCCCTTGGAGAAGGAAATGGCAACCCACTGCACTACTCTTGCCTGGAGAATCCCATCGACAGAGTGCCTGAAGAGTTACAGTCCGTGGGGTCACAAAGGGTCCGACAAAACTGAGCAACTTGCGCACACATGCACACACGCACTCTCAAGACGGGCTGAGACAGATGTCAAAGCCTTGAATCCCAAACAGAATCATTTGCCTATTGGATACAGAGCTGTGCTAAGACCAGGATATGTTGGGGTTTTTAGAAGGCTTTTCTGGGATATAATAAGAGAACAAATTAGAAAGCTTACAGTTTAAATGTTGAGCTTAAAAAGAGAGACAGAAAAAGGACAGGGGGAAAAAAAAAGACTTAAAAGAAAATGGCCCAAAATGTATATGGGTGGGATTTTTTTCACCTTCCACCTAGTGCATTCTCCAGATTTTCACCTTTCATAATCAGAAGAAAAATCATTTCAAAAAAGAAGAAAGTTATTGCAGCAGCCTATGCCTGTTTATGGGGTGGGGGTCAGGAAACTAATTGGCCCTTTCAGCACCTCAGATGGAAGCTCCTGGAATAAATTAAACCAGTGGTGGAGTTAGAGGTGAGGAAAGATCAGAAGGCTCCTTCTAAGGAGAGTAGAGAAGAGAAACAAAGATAGTCCCATGCCATGACCAGGGGTGATTGGGAAGATAAGAGGACCTTGAAATACAGAGAAGTCGAGAGGAGAAGTTTGGAAGTGAAGGCAGTGGGTCCTTGGAACAGTTAAATGTGGGAAGTCACGGCTGGGTGTCCAAAGAGAGAGAGGTGACTGCCGCCCCTTGCCCTGACCAACAGCACCCCTTGCTCCTCAGGTACTTGCAGTGGTGGTACAGGAAGACCCAGGTGGAAAAGAAGAAACCTTTCATCGACCTCATCAACTCTGTGCCCCTGAGACAAATCTATGGTGAGCCTCACTCCAGCCCTGCCTAGTCAGAGAGGGCAGCGTCCAGGCCCACTTGGAGCTAGGCAAAGAAGCCTTCAGCTTCTTTCAATTGCCCTGACCCATTCCCTAGAGTTTACCCCCACCCAAGCTTTATTGAAATATAACTAACATAGAACACTGTATAAGTT